TGTACGCATCTCTGTGTATGTGTACACTAAGGGAGACCGACTCAACACTCAGTGTTGGTAAATGTAATGCTTTGTTTTCTTGCAGGTGCCGCAGCGGGCTTGTAGGACATGTTCACATCGAATACTAAAAAATGAGGAAGGAGATAGGTAGAAGGGAACAGAAAATCAATGAGTGTTTTCAGCCACGTCGTGTCTGGTGCACGCAGCACAAGGTGTTCCTACCTTCCACACACACACACACACACACACACACACACACACACACACACACACACACACACACACACACACACACACCACACACACACTAAATTGATGGTGGGACACCCAGTGTGGAGTACATTTTTCTATTGACTTATATTGAATAAAGGATTTTCACTACAAATCCGAACACAGCAGCATTGTGTGTGTGTGTGTGTGTGTGTGTGTGTGTGTGTGTGAAAGGCAGTGGATTTTACAGCCACAAAGCCATGGGCCCTAACAGGACGCTCCACACACACTCCCAGCACAAGCTGTTTGTGTTGGAGCTTTAATCCTGAACCTCACACAAACATCCTTCCTGCATGATGTATTTAAAGCTTATTTACATTTTTTATTCAACTCAAATTTCTTTACAAATACACAGATCCAAGACCCCTCCCCTTCTCCTTTTCATTTCCCCCCACACACAGTCCTGTGATTGACTTGTGGTTGGTAAGTGCACCACTGGACTCACTCAATGCAGCCCTAATTGACAATGGGTTGTTAAGAAGAACACACACAGAGCTCTAAAACAACCACTAATTGATTAGCCTATTAGCTTAAAGATGTCTACTCACATCCTTCCACCCTCACGTGACGTTTGCTGATGTGAACAACTGCAGCAGAGTGGCCAGTGCTACAGTAACAACTGCTTGTCATTCATCTATTCCTTTGCTGCCTCTTACTGTTTCATAGTTAATAAATTGTACACTGTAATGTATGTCAGGTGACCCCACTGCAGTATCCCTGTTCCTCATAAATCAACCACCATGTACAAACAAACAGAAATATTCACACAATCCTGCCTGCTGACAAACATCTTTCTGCGTCACAACCGTTCCTATTGTGTGCTAGAGAAAGCAGCAATTTATTCTAAATCATATGTTTCTCTGGCTGGCTTGTAAACAGGCAGCTTAGTAACCTACACGTAGGCAGACACACTATTTCAGTTAATGGACACATGCGCTCGTCCCTCTTTAAGTAAAATAGGTCATCTCTGCAGAGTTTGAATAATAGAAAGTGTCGAAAATGATATAAGCCTACATCTGTTTGGACATACAGCCTGTTTGTGTGCAAGTAATGAGAACAAAAACCAATACACGTTATTTACCACATCATCAGATTAGTTGGCCGCCACACATACCTCTCTGTCTGTATCTCTCCAAAAAACATAATAAAAACGTTTTATCAGTGGCAGCAAGTGGAAGTTATTTGCAAAGGCAGCCACTTTTTAACATTCCCAGATGCGTGAAGCTGTGACAGATGCTGAAGCACCGAGCCAAAATGTACTTGAAAAATGAAACATCTGTCAAATGTTTTTAAAGACTCGGCTGCACTCCCTAATTTCCCTCTAAAATGTTTCCCATTGCCTGATTTAAAGCCTTCCATTTAAATATCATGGCGCGCTTGTTGACGGGTAAACAAGGGATAGTGATAGCTGGAACATGTGCGCTGACTGGACCCTGTGATAGAGACAGACCTCAAAGTCTTTCACAAAGCAAAGTAGCTTTCTGGTTTCAATTCTGAATAAGTACTCTGTGAACGACGAGCGGTAGGTGATAAGCTCTTTCTTTAACTCCATTTCAGCGCTGTGTTTAACGGTTCTCATCTGTGTTAGAACATTCCTAACCCCCTTTAAATGTGTCTTACCCACTTTCTCTATATCCCTTTTTTTTTTTTTCAATGCTGGATCCTTTTTCTCTCTCTTTCTGCATCACAGTCACTCTGTCTCTCTCACACACACACACCCTTTCTCTCACACACACCCTTATCCTGAGAAGTAGGAACATTCCTTGCACCAGCCAGAATCGCATATTAGAGAATCAGCACTCTGCCTGTGTGAGAAAAACAGGCTGGGAAAAAGATGGTGGTGTTCAAGTATTTATGTGCCTGTGCGTGCAGGTGTGTTCTCCAGAACACATGTCAACAGGTGAGATGACAGTGTCAATGACATCTGCCTGCTTAAAGTGTTTGCTTGGCAACAAAGAGATTCATTAGAGGCCGAATTATATCAGGAATGTCGCAGGAATGTTTGAGTGTGTGTAGAATGAATGGCATGTCGCTTATGTAGGTACGTACCGAAAAATGCATGCAGTTAGATGGTATGTATGTAAGCGCCGCACCAATCAATGTTCAATCAAACTGGAGCTGCATCCTCCAAACTAAATGCTCAATTATGGTATGCCAGGGAAAGGTCATGAAAGGAATCAGGAAGATTCATCAAGATTGAGTGGATATATACATCCTGCATCTCTCTCTTGCTGCAGAGGAGTAAAATGTAAGCCAAGGGAGGATTTACATGAATTTCCCCCATGATGCTGCAGTGTGAAAAAGCCTATTAATGTCGCCTGATCAGAGCCATAAAGTTTGATTTCCAATAAGCTGCACTGAAATTGTTGTTGAATAATCACACGGTTAATAAAGTTCAGGAAAGCTGTATTATCAAAGGAAGAATACGCATAAAGTAAAACATCAAATAGCCTGATAGCTCCTCCTTTACTTCGTCTAGAGACTTCGTTTTTACACCTTTGACAACTGACCTTTCGCAGATCTGGGAAACAAGACAGACATGTGTTTGCAAATATTGGAAGACAGACATGTGACGTGTGGGGGCTTTACTGCTTGATATACCCTTCATTAGAGCATATCTAACAGCAGTTTGCAGGGTAATGACGGGCTGTCTGTGGCTGGGAATGTCACAGCAGACACACACAGCACCTGGAGACGCCTCTACAGATGGAAAAGCACACAACAACAATAATGAGGATGCACAGGTTTATCCTTTCATCTGTTTATTCCAGATAGGGAGAGACGAGTATGTGGACAAACACATGGTGGACAGAGGTAGCTCAACGCAGCTGTTCAGCAGGGAGCAGTGAAGTAACTGACAGTGGGAATCGATGCAGAGGGTCGATGGACAAACATTAAGTCCACAAGCTGACAAACACAGCAGACAGCCCTCACAATGCAGCACGGACAGAAGGCCTTTACACGGGCTGCCAAGCATAAACAGATCTCTACCGGGACAACAGCGCTAATGCCACTGCGCTGACAGCTAAAGGTGTCTGCAGTAAGGCAGGTAAAACAACAGGTAGTGGCTAACAAGAGGTGGTAAACACAGAGCCAAGTTACCCTGGATTAGTATGTTATTTAGTTTAACTGACATGTTTACTTTTAAGACCAAATTAAACACTTTGAGTAGCCTATACCCCCTTTTGATTAGAGGAGTTATTGCCTTCATGTCTGACTGAAAGCTTCCTTATCAAAAATATGTTTGCTTACATTTGGGTGTGTGGATGTGCTTTATAGACAAGTGACAAAATGAAAAGATAAACTTGGATGGAGTGGTGAAATATAACAAATCAAGATGTCACAATAGGATTTTTGGATTTGATAGGTATGGCATTGACACAGATTATATGATGCATCCTTTGACCCATAATTACTTTTGGAATAATTGCATTTACCCCTCAATTTACAGAAGTGTGTTGACGTTTTAGTGGCTACAGACTTTACTAACATGCTTAACGTTTGTTTTTCTTTAAATGTGTCACTCATCTGTTTATAAGCACCAGGAATTCCAGTTTCCCAACATAGCAATTTGAGATAACACACTCCACTACCGCTTTAGCCTGCAAAGTTGAAGGTGGCAGCAGCTCTACAGAAGCAAAGGAGGGCTGTGAGGTAGGATGTTGAAAAGCGGTTGTGATTAGGAAGACCATTGTAGCTGGTGATCTTGCACTGCAGCAACAGTGGAAACATGCTGTCCATGAGGAGAGTGATATCCTGTCTTCCACATCCCTCTCCTTCCTGCCACCTCTGTGCTTTCCCCCTCCACTAACCTGAACGTATAGATCCGATAAACCATCCCAGTATTTGACTGACACTACCTAGCTAAATACATTGTGCCTGCCTGACGACACACACACACACACACACACACACACACACACACACACACACACACACACACACACACACACACACACACACACACACACACACACACACAAACCAGTAAACAGTTAACATCTGAACGCCCCTTTCTAACCAGCACAATCTGCTCTCCCACCCCTGCTGCTCTCGTGTCCTTGGTCGTGGGCAGGGGCGACACCAATGAACTGTGATCAATGGACAAGCCTCGGCACAAATGGATTATGTAATCGCAATCTGTGTTTAAAAACCATGCACACACACACACACACACACAGAGAGATTTGCAGCATGAACGCTCGGCGGTGCACACCAGCAGCAGAGACAAGCAGGAGACAGAGGGGAGAGAAAACGCCCTGCCTTGTTCCATGTCGAAACCCCAGCCCTTTGGGTACTGTGCACAACACACACATACCACCTTCACATACGCTTTTCTTTAGAGACCACATAGAGACCACATCTGGACAACAACACTGATTTCTGAGCGGGATTTTTTTTCGTGTCTTTGTTGGCCATCTGTGTGAGGCGAGCGATCACACGCTTGAAGACACGCTGATCATGATGTTCTAGTTATGTTCGGAATTGTTGATGTATTATTGATCTTCCACGTCCACATATTGACATTAGTATCCTTAAATGGTTGGTGAAATACAAAGCAAGCGTACCCCTGATTTACGCCTGATATGAGAGGTTGAGGGTACAGAAAAATCATGCAATCAGCCAAGTCAAGGAAAACACATCATTCAGAAGGAAAACACATATTTAGCAGCATATTTCTTAAGCGTGGGATACAAATGATCACGTGGGAAGCTTTAAAAAAGTGTTACCTTTAACTTGAGTGTCATATTCGGCCACTATCTCCTTTTCCTTTCGGAATTTCGCCGGAGACGTCATGGCTGAGTTTGGAGATCAAACCGCTTGCCCCCTCGTAGCGAAGTCAATTTAGTCTCAATCAGTCCAAAAAAAGAAAAAAGCCTTTAACGGGGGGAATGCCACTCTCGGGTAGGCTTCGAAGAGAAAAAGGAAGCACAGATGAGAGATTGCAGCTCCTCAGTGGACCCGCGGATCTGTATTGTCTCCCTGCTGCCTCTGTTCACTCCGGCGCATTGTGAGTTTGGCGCTGCTGCTGCTCTGTGTTCCCATCCGCCGCCGCGCCTCGCCGCCTCCTCAAAAAAACGGTTGTGGTGCAAACAACTTCAAGTGAAAGGAGATTCATCCCCTTCTTAAGAAACAAACAGTGGTAGTATGTCAGTCAGCGCTTCAAAAAGTTAGTTTTATATATTTGCCATTATGTGTCTCGTGGCTGTCCGTCCGCCTGTCTAAACTAAACTGCTCTCCTCTCCCCCCTCCTGAAGTGAGAGAGAGGAAGAACCGAGGGGATATGGAGGGGCTGGCTGCTCAGTGCGCAGGACAGGCAGGGATGCACACATGGATATTATTCATTCGGCTACATAAAATAAATGTGTTGCAGGCAGTCCCCTAAGAGCATGTCACAAGTCCCATTGGGATGTGTTTTGTTTGACAATGTGATTCGATGTATAAATAGCACTAATTGCAAGTTGGGGGTATTGTGGGCTATTCCTGGGTGTGTAAAGTGAGCAAAAACAGTCTAATAGCCACTTTATATATGGTTTCAGTAACATTATGGTCGCTGAGGAGAACGTGTGTCTTGCATGTGTCATTCTGCAGAATTTAAATCCGTATTACGTAAACAAAACGGCAAATAAAATAGTAATGTATAGCTAATGTTAGCCTTAAAGAAGAAATTCCCTAACCTTTGCGGATATCTATGTCAACTGATAATATCATTTGACATAACGGGAATGCATTAACCTTGTCTCGTGTTTCGACAGCGACCATTTCTCATATAAAACAGTGTTAGTCTATTTTAAAGGCAACCCTCTTCCTGAAAGTAAGTATCAACTTTTTGAAAATCTACGCCACAGCCCCGTCCCAGTTTATAGCATAGTTTATAGGACACCAGTACTTCCCACACCATGATTGGCGTAACTAATTTGAATGACATGCAAGCATACTAATCGGCTTTCAGCATTTTTGAAGGTGGGCGTTTCACCTCTATTTTATAACCAATGATATTCAGACTTCCTAATGAGGGTGGCCAATGACATCGATTACTATGAAGTTCAGCCAATCAGAGTCAGATGCAGGGTCTTTTAAAGATAGTTTCCGGAAGTGCCCTTAAATACCAGGAAGTTGTAAACAAAGCTGACAGCTATTTGGTTAGCGCCTTCTACATCTAAATGGATGCTGAACCAGTCGTTTAAAACAGCCTGGTTATTCGCCGATATCGTGCATTTAACAATAATACAGCAAACCCTTTTGTTTTAAAGATATAAAGTTTCTCGTGTATATGTATTTTCTCGCGTTGCTAAACAACCTGACTTTAGCTGCCTTCCGTTTTCTCGTTAGGAAAAGGCTAACGTTTGCACAAGGACGTCAGTGCTAGGTTAAAGCCTGCGAAGTTAACGCCAAATTGAGTATTAATAACCCGACGAATAGTGAGTAACAGCACTCCCCGGTTCTTGTTTCTTCTGCTGCATTTGCTTTCTGGGGGAAGACAGAAAGAGCGAGAATTCGTCCATTTTGGCAGGACAACAATGTCTACATCCAACGCTAATTTCAAAAACAAGTGTGTGTCCCAGGTGAACTGCATATTCTGTGAAAGTCTGCTCTGCACAAGAGGCATGAAAGCTGTGCTTCTTGCAGACACTGAGGTTGAGCTTTTTTCGACTGATATTCCTCCCAATAGGTAAGTGCTAGTCTAGCTAGCATAGCTGCTGGCCTTTGTTTATGTCTGTTGTGTTGTTACTTGAAACGACCTGTAACAAACTGATGTCTAACTGATCATTTGGTGTTAATGGGTACAAAGCATTGACACCCAAACTGTGATTTACTGTGTTTGTTGCATGAACATGTTAATTTAATGTGTGTTTTAACCTTTTATGGCTATGTTTGTTTCTCATTACACGCACCCTCCCCCCAGAACTGTTGATTTTGTGGCCAGCTGCTACTCTACTGAAAGCTGCAAATGCAAACTGAGAGACATTGCATGTCTCAAGTGGTATGTAAAGCTTTTCAATAGCCTACAGTGTTTGCTTTAAGAAGACCATCTGTTGATGTGAAATGTTGATAAGAAGCACAGCAAACAAGGTCTTCCCATGTAGCAGTTTTTTATATGATACACGTGTACTGTAGAACTGTAACTACTCAACAGTCTTAAATTCAGAGTTATTAAATTACAAGGATGTAAAACTGAAAATGCAGAAATGTTTTCATAGTTGATGACTTAAACCAGAGAATATGTAGTGTTTCTACTTGACTCTAAATTAAATAGTTGCCCATCATTTTCTGTAGATGACATAACAACTGTTTTCTTATTGAGCAGATGTATTTCTAATATAAGTTTTAAATAAGGGAAATGTAATCGCTTCATTGTATGCAACAATAAGAGTTAACATTTTGGCTTTATACACCTGTAGTTAAAGTGACATTTGGCTTTCTAAAGTACAGTTTAGTGCTACAGTGAGGTGTTTTTCGCTCTTTTGTATTCTAAAGCCTTTGTTGTGTTTATACACAGGGCAAAAACAAAATTCTCTTAGATAATAGACACCCGCTAGTGGAGTAAGCATTTTTCAGAAATGCCCACAGTAAATTGCTGACACTTGTTCTTCTTTATTCTCCCTCCCTCTGCCAGTGGTAATGTTGTGGGATATCATGTTGTTGCTCCCTGTAAGCCCTGCCTGCTCTCCTGTAACAACGGCCATTTCTGGATGTTCAACAGTGATGCTGTATCTACTCTCAACAGACTGGATGCGACAGGTTAATATAAGCTCTACTTGAAAACAAACTGGAATTCTTCTTCCCTGTTTAGTGTGTTTTTAATTAGCCTTCTTCACCTTCCAATGTGTCTGCAGGTCTAAATCTGCTCCTGTGGGGAGATCTTCCTGAACTGGATGACAGTGAGAACGAAGAATCAGAAAGCCCATCAGAGGAGGAGTGTATTAGGTAGAGAGGGAAATGGACAATGTGAGAGACATGGTACGCCAACATTTGAGGTGGAGCTAAGAGTGTACAAACCATACTTGAGATAAGAGACATTTCATGTTTCAAAGGGTTATTTAAAACTTCATGAAATCGGGCAGAGAAGGGCTGTTGCACTGCTCTGAATTCATGAAATGCTCAAACCAAGGTGCACATCGAGCCACGCCCCAATCAGTGATGTCACAGCAGGTGTTTTACCTGATGGAAAACACCTGCTGTGACATCACTGATAGGGATGTGGACAGAAACACAACTTGCTCCAAAGTTAGAAACAATAGAGAAAAGTACAGCCGAAGCTTTTGGCCCAGTGTAATTTAGTGTTGAATTTGACTTTACCATTCCTTTCCCCATCACTTTACACTGTTAAAAGCACACCAGCACACAATGTCACACATGCTCTCCTTTCCTTTTTTCTGCACATCTGCATGGGCTGCTATAAAACATGTGGCTGAAGTAGAATGAAAATGACAGACAACTAGACTTCTTAATCTAGTGCATTCTACTTTTCATCACAGTCTCCCCTGAGCTCATGGTTTTGATCAAACGCATTAGAAGTTGGGGTTGTTCTCTGATAGGGCAGTGGAACCTTTTAGCAAATGCTGTGCTTTTTGCTTTCAGTCCAATTTTCTGATGAGAAGAACACTTTCCTTCCGCCTACTTTCAGTTTAATGGCAGTTATAATCTGTACATTGAATATGCTGTGATACGCAACAACTCCCATAAGAGTTATGTCTTAAGGCTTGTATTCTCTCCGTGTGGCTGGGTGCTGTCTGAAAGCTGGGGTGCTTTTGGAATCCTGGGTATTGGAGAAATAGCACAATGATTGAATGATATATGCAGTATATATATTTGATTTAGGTTACCTCACGATCTGACGTTCTATCAGTGACATTTTGATATGCTAACACAGTGTTTGTAACCCAATCGACAGCAGCAGTATGAGTCTGACTGTAGCAGTATCTGATACTAACATATGCATAGGGTGTGCTTCCACATAAACCTGGAGCAGCTGCATTTTTAAGCTGAGTTTTATTTGGTAAGAGCTCAAATAAAAAATATATAAAAACTCCTAGATAAATGATATAGGAAAGCTGGAATGGGAGCTGACGAAGATGCAGGATGTGGATCATAAGCAAAATGAATACATGAGTTCTGAATGGATGTTGGTGTCCGTACTCTGTTTTTTTAACATTACTATTCAGTTTCATGTAGCAGAATAGTTGTAGCACCAGAGAAAATCCCCAAAGAATCATGGAACATATCATATTGAACCGACAGACTGCATCCCCTTTATAAAAAGAAAAATGGAATGTTATTTTTGGCCAGCTTATGGAATTGCATTTCAACATTTTAAGTAATCTGTCGTGAGGTTAACCCTAAATATTGTATTGGCCTTACTGATGCTGTGATGCTGTCACTGAACCTTTGTTACTCTGTGGAGATTGATGCTGTAAGCGAGTCAGTCGTCTTAACTCGGTCTTTTGTGAAAGACGCAAGCTTCAACATCCCATAGTCAGAAGGGACTTTACTCAAATCAGTCCTTTTTTGGCAGTGCCATCCTTCTGCTCTTGTTATTGTTTCACTGCTGTGCCCTGCTGATACTATGATGCTGTCTTAAAGTAACAGTCCTTCTGTTAGTGAATAGGATTTGCCTGCATTGCGGGCAAACATATAATTATACTTCTTACCTGAAGGAAAAAGATATAGGTATTTTTTAACTATAATTGGCCTCTGTGTTTATCTATGCGATAGCCTTTAGCTGTGGAAAAATACAAAGAAATATTGTCCAGATTTTCACTTTAAAGTCATAATTTACCGTCTGATACACTTGCACACCAAATACTATTTATGTGGTAAACTGATAGGAAACCGTTAATCAGCTCCTTATTTATTAAATCCACAAACCAAAAATCTATAACCACATACTTCCTTTTTCGTTTACAAGCTTTGTTTACAAATGCATTGGTTTGTAATGTGCTACAGTACTTATGTTTTGGTTCAGGTATTTCAGATTTCATTTTTGATGTAGTGCTTTGTTTTGTACGTTTTTAAAGGTTGGGTGTGTACAGTTTTACCTCAAGAAGGTATCACTTGCGAGCTTCCTCTGGCTAGGACAATTGTCATGATAATCATATAAACATTATTTAAATTGCTGTTTCTGACGTGAAAAACTTTTATTAACATGCCCTGCTGAAAAATGTATATTTTGGGATTGCACTGAAACTGCATTGGTAGTTTAAAAATGATTTGTTGTTTTGTATGCTTGTTAAATTAATAAACTTTTTTTTTCAAAAAATCAGAAATTCTCTGTAGTTTTGTTGTCGCTTTGCTGTGCTCAACAGAAACATGATATACTCCCATACACTTGCATACATTAACTAATGTTTTAGTTTTTACTTTACACTGCTATACGGATCCTATAGATTTGTTTTATTGTCCCCAGGGGGAAATTCATTTTCACATCACTGTACATGAACAAATATACATACAATATATAAACAACAACAATAACACAGACAACAACAGATAACGACACACATGGCAGTTAAACTCAGCGAGGTCTGTCTTTTTCCAAAGTGAGCCTTTTTACATTTCGATGTTCTGTACCTACGCCGTTATCCAGTTATATGACTTGGAGAATGAACATGATGTAAAGTGCTTGGTTTTTCTGGCTGTAGTGAACGTAATGTTTTACATTTCAACTGTATGTAAAAAATGTTGTACATTTTAGAAAATAACATATTTATCTTCTTGAATATATTCTGATTTGGAATTTACAACACTCTGGCGATATTTGAAAAATACGAATCACACAAGTTGGAAACAATCCTACGGAGCCACTAATATTATTTGAGCCACTAATATTATTAGTTTAGTCTGTCTGTGCCGAAATACCTGATTTAGACTTTCTGAATACACATGCAAAGGATTATTCCAATTTTGATTTAGAATTTGAATATCAACGTTATGAATGAAGCTTTGAACCTTTAAACAATTTGGTACAGCCCTGCTTACATTGACACATGACCCTCTGTTCTTGTGTACTTGTTTACAGTTTTCCCACCAAGAAGGCATATCGACTTTAGATGTATCCTTCTATACAGGTTACAATTTGAGGAGATAATCAGCCAGGAAAGACTAAACAGAGGTTCTGCGTAGAAAAAGTAACTTGGATACGTGTCAGAAATCAAGAAAACTATAGGTCTACTTATCAGTAATTTGAGATTTTAAAAGAATTATGAACCACATGTGCACCAAGAAAGCAAGCCCTTTAAAAAAATTCGTTTTTGCATACCTCCTTCGCAAGAGTTCTTTGCTGCTGTTACGACATGCAGGGTAATTTAGGTAGTGAATGCAAAAAGCATGAAACAATGTGTTTCTATCTTAAAGTCACTTTGCTTCAACATGTGTTACTCCTATAAGAATATTTTGTTATACTGAATGCAGAATGTTGTTGAATGTGTGCATAACACTCAGACAAAAATCAATGAAGTATTTAATGTAATATGCTTCCTCTCTGCCCCAGTGAGAGCTTCGTTTGTCATGTAGAGACGTGTCTTACTGAACAACATGCTAATACAAGTCCAACAGATTACATCCTGTCACACCAACACCCAAGTACAGGAAACAACAACAAAAGGCCGCCCGATATTCTAGATGGTTATTGTCTACAAAATATGACAGGATGAATAATCTGCTCTTTTCAAAGTACACTACACATGCACACAACTTGGATCAGCTCGGACAGTGTGGAAAGGTTAGTATAGTCTGGAAGACAAATTGTTCTGAAGGTAAACACGCCACAAATAATAGTTCAGAACAACTGTGTTTTGGACTTGATGGAATTGCCAATGTATTGACATCCAAAGAGTTTACAACTGTTTTGTATTTGAATTTGTATGTAGAGTTTCAAACCCCCCATTCTGTATGAATTATATTTTAGTATAATTGATTATTTAATTATTCCCCCTGTTATGCTTCTAATACGTATTTAAATGAAACAGCCAAAAAGGGGAACTTCCTCCTTTGCTTGCAACCCGGGACAATGAGACCCTTTGGAGGGATGTTGATATTACTGGTTTATCACAGGGATGTAATCCACTTTACATTTTATTTGTAATTGTTCTGTTTTCAAGCCTAATCTCCTGATTGCTTTCTCTGAACAACGGCTTAATGTTATTTGTGTAACAGATGAGTTTTGAGCTTAGCAGGAAACCAGGCAGACAGGTATGAAGCTAATGTGGCAGCTGTTTGAGTGAGCTGTGTGAGAAGTGGACAGGTGTTTTACAACAGCAGCTACAAGCTTGGCAGGTGTGCAACTGTTTTACATTAACAACTGCCAGGTGAGTATAGAAGCAGAGTGAAGATAGGAGGTCCTCTACTTGGCAACAGCTACAACGAAGCAGGGCTCTATTTATCATTATTGTTTTTAAATGACTTTATGCTCACCGAATCATGATCTTACTAAGCATACATGGAAATGGGCCTTTTTCCTGGCAGCTTTCTGACATGTGGGGAAGCACAAATTACATTAATGACGACCCTGTCCCATTAAAATGCAGCGTGAAATTCAATGAATGTCATTCATTACACCTTTTCCTGTTATGGCACGACCCTTGTAAAAAATGCCCTGACCACATTAAAGGTAAGTGCCTCAAGAATACGTAATAAAGAGCATATTGCTTAGTGAAAAAACACTCAAGTAGTTTAATTAAAAAAATGTATTTCAAATCATTCCAAATTATAAATTATTATTTTTCTGATCTGACCAAATACTTACCCATTCACTTCTGAGATGTGTGTTACAACTGATTCACAATGTGAAAAAGAAAGGTCATATCTGTCTTTTTTGGTATATGAGGACATGTCAGAGTAAAAATAACATGACATTTTGTTATATGGAAATGTTTGAATCAAGGCAAGGGAATTTTCTTAAAGTCTCTGCACATCAGCCGCTGGCACTTTTAATACTGAAAGATTGGAAACCCCCCAAATCAAATCTGAAGTTTTATGCTTTCATGCTTTATGCCCTTTTGCGTTTGTGGAAAAATCATAAACAGCACTCTGCCGCACTCTGTTGGGTATGTGGTGATATTACATTATTTATACACACTTCGGCAACTTACATTTTTTATAAATTGAAAACCTCACAGTTATGACACAACATTGCACACATAAAGCCCTACCACCAAATTGTTTTAGATGATAAACGTTTACAATATATACATTTAACTAACCCTTTCGTAGCAAAAGTTACATGTCACACATTTGTTCTGACTATTTGTCACAAAATGTATCCCCTCTATATTCAGAGAGGATTTCCTACCATCAAGTGTTTGATTTTAAAGATATTTTAGATCATGCCTAATAGCCTGGTTGAAGACAGAGAATGTCTTCTCTCTTAAGTCAAGTTATGACGAGTCACTGACATTTGTTTTTGCTTTTTATTTGACATTAGGCAGAATAAAGTCAAGAGACAGGTGTTATCTGCCGTCATTGCTCCAGGAGCTGCAGCCTGGCCAACAAGCTGCCTTTCTTCTTTTTTGACTTTTTATCCGATGGCTTCTGTACGGTGGACTTGCCTTCTTCTCTGATCCCTGTCCTCTTTTTTCAGCATCTGCTTAAGTGAGGCATTCTCCTCCTCTGCTCTTTTCAGTGCAGCCATCATCTCTCCTTTCAGCTTCTGCTGCCCCAGCTGTGGATGCTTAGATGTTCTCCTTCTCAAAGTCCAGGACCTCCAGAGCTTTGAGATCAGTCACCTCCTCCATCAGATGGTGTTTGGCCCTCAGCTCCTGGGGTTTCACTTCATGCCCTTCCTGGTGTTTCTGTGTCCCCGCACAGTCGCTGGTGTTTACTCTTACACCACTCTGCTTTTTGTTTTGCTGGTTCTCAATGCTATTTTTTCCCCGTCTGACAACTCTCTGGTTTGCTGCTGCTTGCATCGTAGCTGTTTAGCAGCTGAGTGACTGAGAATAATGCATGTGTGTCAGGGTAGAGCGAAGCAGACAGGACCCAAATGCAGATTTCACAGAATATTCCTTTATTTCAAGGTTAACTAGAAACAACAGAACTCTTCCCCGTGAACACAGTCAAGACTAACAAGGATCTAACAGTAACAGACAGAAAAACCAGAACTGAAATACACACAGGACTAATCAAAGAAACAAGAGACAGGTGAGGAGGGAGGAGAAAACACAGGGGCACCAGGTGAACACAATCAGGAAATCAGGTAGGAGGGAACACACAGACAGGAAACCAAAGACAGATCTAGACAAGACAAAACACAACACAGACAGATTGTGACAATGTGTTTGTCAGTAAAACATTTATTTCGCTTCACGAGATAAAAGGCTGATAGATGCTTTACTTATCAATAAATATTTTCATCTCAATTGATGATGGTTGGTTTGGTGGTTGGTTTAACATATAATAAAATCATTATTTGGACTGAAAACAAGAATTAACTAGTTAAGCAGTGCTGCACTAAATGTAGATTTAATAAGAGTGTTACAAGTGTGCTTGGA